AAAGCAGAGCCATCTCATATCTCCCCAAGTCAGAGGAAACCTCTCCCTCCTTTGCCAGGTGTGGCTGCCTGGAGTTAGTTGTGGGAGGGAAGGAGGGCCGGGCTGGAATCGCTGACGGGCTCCTAATACTCAGGCAACACCCCCCCCCCCTTCAGCCTCCACATAAGAGGACTCCCCAAGGCTAAGCTCCAGGTTTCTCCTGTCACTTCCAAGCAGAGAAGGATCCCTCTGTATGGAGGCTGAAAGGGGGGGGGTCTCGAGTCCAGAAAAGCTGGAGCACTCACCTGCACAAACAGGCTGGTTATTAAGAACCCGTCTTCCTCAGTGCTCTTTTGGTCTGGGCATTTGGTCTCTCCCCCCCACCCCATGCCAAAGGAAAGCTAGCCGGGCTTCTCCTTCCCTTCCCCCCACTCAATCTTACTTCGGGACAAAGGAGAGCGCGCTGGAAACGTGTGTTGGCTTTTCCAATACGCCTTTCTCTGGTGCTTGCTCGCAATTCTTCACGTTCCTCCAGGCCTGGCTTGCTGAGGGGGAAGAGCAGCCCTGACATCTCTGCTGCCCCCCCCTCCAGGAAAAGAAAGCAAGCAGAAACAGCTCTCGCTGGGGTGAAAGAGCAGAGATCGGAAGACACAGGCAACAGAAAGCGGCGCTTTTCAAAGGCAGCAGTTTCCATCTTCTCTTGCCTGTGCCTTCCTCAATCTCAGCTCTTTCGTCCCAGCAAGAGCTATGTTTCTGCTCACTTTTCCTGTGCTTTCCCTGGGGGGCGAGGGGTGGGGGGGGGGGGGGGGGGGGGCAGCAGAGCAGAGCGGGGACGAGAGACGTCCCAAGAGGGACAAGAAAACTGACGCCGACGCCCCATTCTGGACCTCTGAACTGGATGGTGAGCGCAGACTTGCCTACTCCGCCCCCTCCCACCACCACCAGCCAGTATTTTTCTTGCCCTGGGCTGTCCCTACAGCCCGTGGCCATCGAGAAAGAGCCCAGGCCAGGAGATAGAAACTGGAAGGTGTGGGAGTGCCACGCAGATGCAAGTAGAGCAGCATTCCTGCACCTTCCGGCCATCTCCATTGCCGCTTCAGCTCGCCTGTGCCATCCCCCTTGCTGCAATAGCACCATTACCTTGTCCTGCCCAGCGAGGGCTGCACTGCTCGGCTGAAGAGTGGGAGCCAGCGGGTGGGCAGGCTTTGGGGGGTGCTTTGGGGGGACATTTCTCTGCGGCCCACCAAAATTTTCTCACGGCCCACCGGTTGGCGACCACTGCTCTAGATTTTAGTTACATGGGAGAGAAGGCCTGCATGATTTGCTGGCTTTCTTTTTTTCTAATTGATTTTCATTTGGATGGACAATTTTATCACAGCTCTAAATCGGGGGTAACCATATCTGCATCAGAGCACAATTCCTTTGTGGAAAACCCAGAGAACTATACATTATCAGAATAAATATCCTAGACTCACTAGTATTTTTGAAGTCAAAACACATTTTTGAGAGAATACTGCCTATTTGGAGAACCCTGTGCTGTTGTAGTCTCAAAGCCTAATTTTTCCTACCAAAACGTATTTATAACTGGCTACAGTGTGTGAATATAGCTCTTTTTAATATTAATCTTTTATTGTGTTTTTTAAGCTAGGTGAAATATTAATATATATTTCAAGTTCATGTATGGTATGCCATTCTCCAGAAGCCCACAACCTTTTGAGCACCAAGGACCAATTCAGTGGAGAGAGGTTTTTCTGTGGACTGGAGGGTGCATGGGTATGCTACCTGCATCCTGTGGGTGGGACTTTGCTTGTTTATGTGGCATGGTTTCTGGCGTATTGCAGACCGACGCCGGTCCATGAACTGGGGGTTGGGGACTCCTGCCATACGCTGAAGAAATGTGTATGATGTATGTATGTATGTATGTATGTATGTATGTATGTATGTATGTATGTATTTATTTATTTATTTATTTATTTATTTATTTATGTGTATTCATCCATAAATTTGGAACAGGGATCCAATCCAATCCAACATTTTCCTACCTCTGGGCAGTTTGTCCATTGAAGCCACACCACAAACTGGTTTTCAAATTGTTCCACTGTAAGTGATTTCAAATGCAAGTGAATAGATTCACATAAAGGACCTAAAGATCTCACACTATTGATATAATCCAATGTTGGGTCTAAAAAACAAAAATAACCGATCAGTTCAAGAATACTGTCAAGTACTGCTAAATATAAAAAAATATTTTCTCCTTAGAGGATGTTCCTCTAAATTCATTAAGGATTTTCCCTTTTTTGTAGAAAATCTTAAATAATGCCCTTACAGTCATTGAAGCTAAATAACTAAAATTAGGAATTCTATTATTTTTAACAAAAAGATCCCCCCAAACAATTAAAAGATCTTCACTGCATATGCTAATTCAGAAACATGTCTTACTGTCCCAAGTATAGCAATACACTACATTTAAAAGCAATAGAGACCTTGCTCTCCATATCGTATATGTTTTGTGATGAATTCCCAATTTATTTCACCAGTGTCACACATAAAACTACTGAGAGCACAGCTTGTTTTCCTCTCAAATCCGGCTTCACAAATCATATAATACACTGTAGGGGAAAGGCAGGTAGATGGTGGATCAGCTAAGAACATCTGAAATGAAATAAAAAGGCAAATGGTGAGATAAAAAGGGAACTCTTACAGCCTCATTTATTTTGTTTGTGAACGTAATTACTACTGACAGAATTACTTTTACATATTTTATCAGTATTTCATATTGCTATATCCCATGGTTAAACAGTGGCAAAAATGAAAATAAAATTCCAATGCTGACAATTGTATTACATGGAGATTTGATATTTTGATTTTTTTTTCCTATCCAATTTTTTTATTTTTTGATGGTTTGATATTTTTGACTTTCCCTTTGTAGGATGAAAGTTAATGTAATCGAGAAAGATCATGGGTATTTGGGTAGGCACTGCAACAGCATTTTTCCTCCCTACTTGTCAGCCTAAAGATACTATAAATAATACCTGCTTATGTTTTTTATTATCATTTAAAATATTTTAAAAACTACTCTGTACATGTGGGCCATTTACCCTCAGGTTTCAGGAGCTGAAAGTATCTTGCAAACAGCCCTGCTATGAACTTTTTCCACACTGTTATATAACACTTGTTATACCCACCTTCTACAAATAGGATTGAATAAAATCATTTGACAATCCTTTAGTATAAATAAATATCAGTACTGCAGATGAAAGATGTGCTGGGTCTAAGAAAATGCTTTTTTATTGCGTCATTTAGTCAAATGTTATTACACAATAAGTATGCAATTGAGTTTACAACCAAAAATCTTTCTCTTCTTTATATTTCAGAGGATGTCTTAAGATTTAGTATCCAATAATAATCATGGGTTGCAAATCTCAACTCTTCCTGACCATGTTACAATCATCTGTATCTGGAACGCTTCCACAACTGAAGGTAGGCTTAACCAGAGAGTTCAACCTGGAGAGTCTTGCCCAACTCATTTCACCAATTATGGGCCTCAACATATTAACATTTGCTGACTTAACTATGGTTGTAATAAATAAATTTGGGAGAAAACAGCCACCACTTGTAATGAAGCTGTGCATAAATGCATTCCTCATTGGCTAAGGATGATGCTTCTAATTCATCTGGATAAACAGAACAGTTTTTTTTTTCCTCATTCACGTTAGGGAAAGATAGCTTCTGAATAGGAGAAACGAAAAATTTTATTGCTGCCTTTTTGTGGTCATTGATAACTTTACAGCCCAGACAGGTAACTCTAATGCAGGCCTCACATCAGAATCTTTTTTTTTAAATAAAGCACTAACCCACAATGCAATTACTTTGTAATCCCAGAACAATGCAGTGCAACAAAATAAAGGTCACAATTAAGCAAACGGTTCAACATTAATACTAGTTATGCCAGGCAGTCACAGAACCTCTGTATTTAAGATGCATTTCTGTCTAGCTGACTGGGTGAAAGCAAATACAGGTAGTTCTCCACTTACAACCTAGGTTCTTTCTAGGCTGCCTTAGGAAAGCAGGTGGCCTCATTTTACAAATTTTACCTGTAGGCAGCCCTTGACTCATGACCCACAATTGAGCCCACCATTTCTGTTGCCAAGCAAGACAGTTGTTAAGTGAATCACTGCAGTTGTTAAATTGGAAACATGGTTAAGTGAATCTGCATCCCCACTGACTTTGCTTGACAGGTTGAAAAATGACCCCAGGACACTGCAACTGTCATAAATCCATGCCAGTTGCCAAGCAAGTGAATTTTGATCATGTGACCATGGGAATGCTGCAATAGTCCTAAATATGAGAACTGGTCATAATTCATTTTTTTCAGTGCCGTTGTAACTTTGAACGGCCACTAAGCAAATGGCTGTAAGTCAAGCACTACCGGTAACTTGTGAAAAGTCACAACTCACAAGTGTTGCCAGCAAAATTAGAACTTTCTACCACTGCTGTGAAATAATATTTAGTTTCCATTACAATCATGATTTGTCTTCCTTCCTTAGGACTGGAGCTTTAACAGCAGCAAAAACACCCAGGGGCAAGTTGCAAGGAAGATATACTCATTGTGTCTCCATGCAAACATAACCCTTTCCCAAGCCAGGTTCCCCAAACGGTGAGGTGTGCCTCCCTTGGGGCAGAGCAGAGTCCAGAGGACCTCTGAAGAACCTTTTAATTACATTTGAAATCCACCTTTCTTGCAGCTTCACTGTTCTCCTATATTGATTTTGGTGTTTGTAGTTTTAGGGGAGGTGTGTACATTAGAGATGACAACGAAGGAAGGAAGGTATGATGGCAAAAAGTTTACGTACTTTGCCTTTAAACTGTTTAACCTGGCGTTTAGCAAAAGAAAGAAATAGCAAGGCAGAAAACAGCAACAACAACAAAAAGTCGGTGAGGCGCTCTCGCTCCTAGCACCGCGCCCCAAAAGTTGAACTACAATTCCCAGAAATCCTCCAACTCCCCTTAGGCGAGCGACCAGATTGCGGAAAGACTGGTCCGCCGCGCATTTACCTCAGCTCGGTTCTGGTTCTTGGGTTGCTTAGCTCGTGCTTACTGACGTCACGGGTAGAGACCAGCCTCGCGCCTCTGAAAGGCTGTACCTGACGGGTCCGTGTGTGGACGGTTGCTGCGCCAGTGAATCACCGTCCGCTCCAGACAGTTGCCTAAAGGGAGGAGTTCCCAATGGATAAAGCCAAAAAAAAGCTGGGCGTCACTCCTTCCCACGCTGGCCAGGCATGGGGAAGAAAACACAGCAATATAGACAAAGATCAGCTCGGTCGGGTAAGACAAGGCGGAGCGGCTCCATCTGCGCGTGCGCGGAGCGGCATTGGGGCGGCCTTCGGGTCAGAAGGCTTCCCGCCGAGTGGGCGGGGCTGAACGGCAAGGAAAGCTCCTTGCGCCCTTTTTGCTGGGATGTTGCATTTTGGAAAGCCGGACTTTTGTTTTTTACTCAGTTAAAACGCTGGGTAGATATGGGTTCTGTCCAAAGAACCCATATCGTGCATAAGCGCACCAACGTGCCTACCGTCCCTGTCCTATTGTTTCTCTTATTCTTTTATTTTTCTTATATGTACCCATTTCATGTATTCACAACTATGTATACACTTATACTTATTATCTTGTAAACAATTGGCAAATCAAATAAATAAATAAAAAATAAAGTTGTGTTAAGCTACACGAGGAGTGCTTGCTGTGAACCACACTAAAGCTGTCTTACCAGTTTTTCTCAACCTTGGCAGCTCTAAGACGCTTGGGACTTCGACACCCTAAGCCAGCAGAAGTGAAGGTTGAGAAATATTGGTTTATGTCAAGCATGTGGCAGATCTAAGGAGACCCTGTTCAGGAGGGTTAATGTTGGTTTCTACTATATTCTGATTATGAACTGTAAAGATGTACATTTTATGGCTTGTAATAATTCAAATGTATGCCATTCTAGCTTCTCTATACATGTATTATCTTTGCTTCTCTTTATTACCTAACATACTATCAACATTCAAACTGGAATGTTTCTGTTTCACAAATTCTTCAAGTACCCTATGCATGAATCACATAATAGAAACTTTCCCTTGGAGAACCATTAATTAGCAACTCTATCTGAGTCAAGTAGGCTGTTCTACTTTACAATGAACCCTTCATCCACTGCAAGTTGAGCAGACAAGACATAGTCATTTACCAAGATTACATTTCAGTCTTTTTTGTTTAAATTACTTTTTTTAATTTGACAATTTTAAGATGTGTTAAAGATATTAAGCATCTTAAAAGTTTGAAAAACATTGGTTTAAATGAACATATAAAATGTACTGAATTAGGTAAGACACTTGGGAAAGTATTCATAAGATTGCTACTTTTGATGCGCCAAAAATAAAGACAAAGTTTTGTAATCTGAGTCTCTGAATACTGTTGAATATCTTTGTCTTTGGGAGAGGCAATGTTTGTCCAAACTTTTGGGGACTATATAAAGTGCTGACTGAAATCTGTTCAGAAAAGCAACTGCAAGATCAAGAGATCAATATGGTTTAAACGTAATGAATATGTCCCAAATGGAAGTTTTGATTAAACGTGTAGAAAATAAAGTAATTTTGTCTTCCCTCATAAAATTATAACTCGGGGGTTCCATGTTAAGCAACATGGAATATATACAATGCAGAACTAATTTATGTGGCTGTAAATCAGAACATTCCGTTGCATTCAGTTAAAGAGCCACTTTGGTACAGTAATCCTGTCTTATAAATCAGGATACTGTGAATTTTACTCCTGCCTTGGACATGAAAAACTGGTTAGGTGACTTCAGAGCAGTCACTTTTAGTTCAACCAACCTCACAGGGTGGTTATGGGGAAAAGGAAGAAGTATTGGTCTTTTAACTACCTTGAATTATATATGAAAAATGAGGGCAGGATGAAAAAAAAAGCTAACCCCCTCTTACTATGTTTAAGTTTTGTCATTTTAATTTTGTGAGTGAAATAAAGATGTCTTTATGTGTTGGGGTTTTTTAGCCTTCAGTGTCAGGAAAACACAGAGCTTCAAGCTATGACATATCAGGTATGGACCCAGATGATGAATCCGTCACAGATTTTACAAAAAATGAGCTCTTAGTATTCAAGACTAGCTTTGCAAGACAGAAATATGGTAACACTTACAGGATGGAACCTTATAGAAAATGTGAGGCTCATATAGTAAGGAAGAGAGCTGAAGATATTCTAAAGGTAAAGTATTTTCTAATAAGAATTAGGTTCTAAACCATAAGTTATATTATTTAACACTTTTGTTATATCTCCTATTAACAGCAAAGATCATTTAAAATGTAGTTTATGGCAAATAACTTATTAAAGTACAGGTAGTCCTTGGGTTATGACAATTGAACCCAAAATTTATGTTGCTAAGTGAAACATTTGTTAAGTGAGTTTTTCCCCATTTATGTCTTTTCTTGCCATAGCTGTTAAGTGCATAATTGCATTTGTTAGGTTAGTAGGTGAATCTGGCTTCTCCATTGATTTTACTTGTCAGAGGCTGATCACCAAAACCCAGGACAGTACAACCGCCATAAATATAAACTAGTTGCCAAGCACCTGAAATTTGATCATGTGACCATGGGGATGTTACAACAGTCATGTGAAAAATAATTGTGTCACTTTTTTCATTGCATTGTAACTTTGAGTGGTCACTAAATGAACTGTTGTAAATAGAGGACTCCCTCTAAATGGAGCCTATTCATCATCCTCATACACTTCAGTCCCATTTGTGCGAGAAGCACCTTTTAAGGCACTTCCAGGTTGAAAGGATTAGCCATTGATATCACTGTTGCCTGGGGGATGCCCATGGGGGCTCCTTTCATGTTCTGGTTGAGCGAATGATGGCGGCTAACCCCGCAAAGCAGCAGCACTTGGGCCTCGAAGGCAGGCTTACTAACCTTCAACCCAGAGTTCTAACCACTTGAGCCACTTGTTCCATGTTGTCATACACTAATAGAAATATCAGCAGTATTGGAGAAGTGTGTGTATAATTAACTGATTTTAATTAAAATTACTGAAATTCCCATGAGTTCATTTGCAAGTGCCCAAATGGGGCACTTCTGACTTGGCTACTAATAGCCTGTAATAGCTCTTTCCTGGATGCCTTGAGTATTTTCCAGAAGAAAAGTGACTGATGATTGAAGGATTCCTTACAGGATGAGTTGGGAAGTGTTGGCATTCTTCTTTGTCCTATTCAAATTATTTTTGTCCATGCAAGAAGCAGTAGTTATCTCTTTGTGTTGAACTTTCTTGTGTAAGAAGAAACAAGAAGTGAAAAGTATTGGACATCAATAGTGGACTTTTGAAAGTGACAGGGCCCTTCTTCACTAAGATCTACCACCTGACATAATTTAGCTGTTACCTTTTGGTAACATGTCCTACAGTATGGGCAATTCCAACCTCTATGAACAAACCAGAGATCTTGCAGTTGAATTCTGAACATTTCTAACAAATTAGTTCATAGAATTCCTTGGGGGATATAATCTCTAAAATTAAAGTAATATAAACCTAAACTAAAATAATAATAAGCACAAATATATTCTAACATCTTGTGAAGTTATATTTGACTTGTCAAAATAGTTCCTAAAATGGGCTTATTTTTAATAAGTTGCAATAGTGCTCTATTGCAGTCAAAAAGCAGTTTGACATTTTTTTCTAAAATCAGTGGGATAGTGAATAGCCTGTTTAAAACTAAAGTTCCATGAAGCAAACCTTCAAACTGAGTACAGTCCTATTACATAGGTTTGGTTAAAAGCACTTAGTTACAAACCCTATTGAATACTATTTTTACTGAAAAACAATATACCTACAGGATGTATCAAACATAGAATAGCTTTAAATGTTAAATGAGTGCTGTATAGACCATTTATAGAAAAGTGTATTATTACAATTATTGGTAATTTTGTTTGATCCTTAATAGCAGAAACTTCAAGATTTCAAATATATTGGAATCAATGGTGCCCCCACTTGTACAGCTATCTCAGAAGATATATTAGCAGGTGTCAAGGATCTGGGGTTTGATCGTTACAAGTATATAGTTCAGTTATTTCTTGTGCAAAAGACTGGTCAGTCAATACATGTAAGTACATAAACTACCCTATTCTGTTCTCTGAAAAATGCCCACATTTGCCTGTTGCAGTTGTGCAGAATATTATTTTTCAAATGGGACCCTATCAGATTACTAAAGTGGAATGGACTACCTTGTTAAATCATACACAAGGTCTTATGTTCCAGCATTTTCAAGAACAGTCAGCATATGGAAAAAATGCAAGCAAAGCATGTAAGTAATAGCCATCATAGCTGTTTTTTTCATTTTCAAATTCATCTGCAGAAAATTAGCTCAGGTTGAAACTGGTAAGATGTAATAAACTGTTCTGCACACATCACCACCAATCAGATCTACGTGTTCACTTGATGAAATGAAGCACTTTATTTACCTAAGTTAGTATGACTAAAGTTGTTGCAACCTTACCGGTTGCTTCTCAGTGTTCTATCAGATGTGACAGAAAAAGCATGTTATGGAGGTTGTGGTAAAAAGGACCCTCCTACCTCATACACATGTAAGCTACGTTCATTACCAAACTGATGAGATGCGCTCATGTGCATCAAATATATGAACTGCAGAAAGTGCCCTTGTACTAAAACATTCACAGCAAGTAGAATTGACCCTGAGTGGTGACAAGGAAGAACCATATTTCAAAGATAATAATGGCTACTGTCAAAGCTTTGCTGGGGATCCAGTATGTATTGTGTTATTGCTTGTATAGATGCAAATAAAATTATGGTGTATTTTCAGAGTGATCTATTAAGGAATGTCATCTGATAGGAGATGACCTCCTGGCAGGAGAGACTTTTCTGCTCTAATGCCTGCCCTTTGGAACAGCATTCCCCTAGAGCAGGGGTAGGCAACTATGGCCTTTTTATAATATTT